CTGGGAGTGATGGAGGAGTGGGGGAGTGGGAGAGTGGGGAAGTGCTGTGAGCGATGGAGGAGTGGACCATGGGGTCACGGAGGGAACAGTCCATGCAGATACTGCTGAGTGAGAGGAGGGGACACAGTGTTTGGTGGGACCATCCTCCTATAGGTGGTGGAAATGGGGGAGCATGATCCTTTGAATGTGGAGATGAGTGAGGTGGAAAGTCAGGATGAGGGGAACACAATGGTTGTTCTGGGAGGGAGTGGGAGAAGTAGGGCAGAAGGGTGGGAGATTGGTTGGACACAGCTTAGGGCCCAATGAAGGGGAATCCTTAGTAGAGGGGAAAGGAGGTCATATCAGAGGCAGTAAGGTGGAAGGTGGCATCACGGGAACAGATGTGATGGAGACAGAGAAACTGGGAGGATGGAGTGTAGTCTGCACATGAAGCAGAGTGTGAGGAGGTATAGTTGAGGTAACTATGGCAGTCGGTGGGATTGTAATAATCTGATGCTCTGCAGCTATAACATTCTATTCGTGTGTCACCCTTTCATGGTATTGAAACTGACTCCATCTTTGTCTTTCTGTTTGGTTAGACCCAAGTCTGAAGCGAAAATAACTGAGGAGCCCAGAGCGATTTTATCATGCAGCAGTTTCGGTGCGTATTTCTCTGTGTTGTTACTGGGGCAGGGTGGGTAACAGGCTGCCCTGTAGATTTCAGTACACTGTCCATTAAACCACAGCACACAGGAGCAGAATGAGACCATTCAGCCCATCACATCTGCTCTACCATTCAATCATGGCTGATCTGATCATCCTAAACTCCACTCTCCCGCCTTTTCCCCATAATCATTGATTCCTCTGTGATTAAAAATCTCTCAGCCTTCAACATACTGAATGACCCAGCCTCAACAACCTCTGTGGTAAACAACTCCACAGGTTCACTCCCTTCTGAGGGAAGAAATTTCTCCCCATCTCAGTCTTAAATGAGTGACTCTTATTCTGAAATTTCACCCTCTGGTCCCAGACTGTCCCATAACAGGAAACAAAATTTCTGCATCAACACTGCCAAATATCCCAAGAATTTTGTAACTTTCGATAAGGTCACCTTTCAATCTTCTATATTCCAATGAGAACAGGCCCAACCTACTCAACCTCTCCTCATAAGACAGCCCTGTTATACCTGGTATCAGCTGAGTGAAACTGTTGCTGTTATATTTATGTGCGCGCACGGTCGCCCTGTGTGTTTGTGCGCGCACGGTCGCCCTGTGTGTTTGTGCGCGCACGGTCGCCCTGTGTGTTTGTGCGCGCACGGTCGCCCTGTGTGTGTACACTGTCACTCTGTGTACACAGGGTGCCCTGTGAGTACACCTTTTCACACGAGGTAAAAACAAGTTGGCTCTCTCCACACCTTCACTCATATGGCACTGCCCTCTGGTGGAATTCAGACACAATCACAGAGACTGAGGGAAGTGTCTCCTCGGACAGAATCCTTGATTTGCGAACAAATTGCTGAAGTACCCTGCCTCTGGAATTGACAGCATAGCAATGTTGGCTGCGACATAGCCAGAAATCCTGGTTGAGAAATAATTTATTATTCAGTATTGGGGCTGGGGTGTTCTCACTGGTCACCGGCTGGTTTTTACATGACTGTTATTTCTCAGAGACAATAGTCGAGTCCCTCGGCCTGCCTTGTTTCTCTAGGGATTTCAGGTATGGTGACTTCACCTCCTGGCAATTTGTCCTGCTTCCTGGTCACTGTGTGTGTAAAAACACCCTCCTGGTGGTTAATAACAAAACCCTCCTGTTACTGAGATCACTGATCGATTGCATAGAAACACAGGAGCAGAAGTAGGCTGTTCGGTCCATCATACCTGCTCCACCATTCATTGATTTAGATGAAGGAATTGAATGTAATGTCTCCAAGTTTGTAGATAACACAGAGCTGGGTGGGAGGGTGAGCTGTGAGGAAGATGCAGAGTTGTTTCAGTGTGAATTGGACCAGCTGAGTGAGTGGGCAAATGCTTGGCAGATGCAGGATAATGTGGTTAAATGTGAGGTTATCCAATTAGGTAACAAAAATAGGAAGGGAGATTATTATTTGAACGGCTGTAATTTAAGAGAGGGGAATGTTTGACTAGACATAGGTGTCCTCATGCACTAGTCGCTGAAAGTAAGTGTGCAGGTGTAGCAGGTGGTGAAGAAGGTATATTGTGTGTTGATCTTGATAGTGAGAGGATTCGAGTACAGGAACAGAGATGTCTTGCTGCAATTATACAAGGCCTTGGTGACGCCACATTGAAATATTGTGAGCAGTTTTGGTCTCCATTTCTGAGGAAGGATGTGTTTGTTACAGAGGCAGTGCAGCGAAGGTTTACCAGACTGATCCCTGGGATGGCAGGACTGACTTAAGAGGAGGGATTGAGTTGGTTAGGATCATATTCATGGGAGTTTAGAAAAATGAGGGGGACTCTTGTAGAAACTGATAACATTCTAACAGGACTAGACAGGGTAGATACAGGAAAGAATATCCCAATGGTGCAGGAGTCCAGAACCGGGGGTCATAGTTTTAGGATTTGGGGTAAACCTTTTTGGACTGAGCTGAGGAGAATTTCTTCATTCCGGGAGAGAGGACCCTGTGGAATTCACTGCCACAGAAAGTGTTTAAGGCCAAAACATTGTCTTTTCAAGAGGAAGGTAGACTTAGCTCTTGTGGCTAAAGGGATGAAGAGATATAGTAGGGGAGCCATTGGGTATTGAGCTTGATGGTCAGTCATGATCATATTGAATGGCAGAGCAGGCTCAAGGGGCCAAATGGCCTTCTCCTGCTCCTATCTTCGCTGTTTCTGTGTAAGAACTATTTAGATATGTTCTTGCAATGCCGTGACATACAAGGCTGTGGGCCAAATGCTGGAGAATAAGAATAGAATAGTTAGTTGGTTGTTTTGACCAGTGTGGGCACAATGGGCTGAAGGGCCCCTTTCTGTGCTGTCGATCCCTGTGACTCTGTGACTATGCACTGTCCATGTGATGGGGGAGATGGATACAGGGTTTTTTTTTTGGGGGGGTGGTGTGCAGTCCCCAGGGGCTGCACTGACTCGGGGAGGAATCCCGCTGATTCCCCATGGCTGGTAATTTACAAGGAGTACTTGCTACTTTTCTTCAGCTTAACGCAATGTTTGTGACTGTTTTCCAGGCTCTGAGATCTACGCCGAAATACCAGACACTCCTAAATCTGCAGGTACAGGAAAGAAAGAGATGCATCACCTCACAGTTAATTATGTCGTTTTAATGTGTGCACGCAGATTTAATGCAGGGAGACTCAGCAGCTCATTAATGCACAGCAAGATCCCATATATTACTATCTCATCAATGACAAGACAATCTGTTTGACCTCCATCAGTTGGGGGGTTATTATTGGCCTGGATTCAGGGGAAATTCCTCTTCACATTCTGGCAGTAACTCGGTGATGGGAAATCAGCTTCCGGTTTATTGCCTTATTTAAATACTAGCACTCAGAGCTCACCACTGACCCTCCGACAGTGCGGCACTCCCTCAGCACTGACCCTCCGA